TCGGAAAATATATGTAGTAATATAATTTTGTTATTAGTTTTTTCGTTTCATTTTAAAACGGACATTACGATTTTGCGGTAGGCAGCGGCTTGGCTCTGCCCCTGGCATTGCTGAAGTCCATGGGCGACGGTAACTACTCACCATCAAGTGGGCCGTATGCTCGTCTGCCTACAAGGGTAATAAAAAAAAAAACACTGAACCTAGTAATTTTTTTATTGCTTAGATGAGTGAACGAGCTCACAGCCCACCTGGTGTTAACTGGATACTGGAGCCCATAGACATCTACAACGTAAATGCGCCACCCACCCTGAGATATAAGTTCTAAGGTCTCAGTATAGTTACAACGGCTGCCACGCTTCAAACCGAAACGCATTACTGCTTCACGGCAGAAATAGGCAGGATGGTGGTATCTACCCGCGCGGACTCAGAAGAAGTCCTACCACCAGTAAAAAATATGCTATTTTCTGAAATAGGCAGGCTGACGGTCAATTTAATCGTAAGTGGCCACCGTCGCTCATGAACATCAAACAACGAGTACTTCAACAATATGTGTCTGATTATTAAGTCGGAAAATTACATACATACATACATACATCAAAACTTTTACTTGTACGTAAGGAGTATTTTAATAACACAATTTTCATTTACGTACACTTTGATGTCTGAAACTATAACAGAACCGGATAGATGACGTTTTACTACTAAGGTAGTCAAAAAATATGTTCTCACTTTTACTTGACTCTATAATGAAATAAACGTTGTATATGAACGAACCTATAATAAAACGACATAAAGTCGATGTTAGATACGAAGAAACTCAGAAGTCGCTTTGTCTTTTTTATGAGTGATTAATGTTCATTGCGGCAAGGGGACGCCATGTTTGCCTATGCATATTCAAAAAAAAAAAAAGAAAAACACGCTTTGGCCGCTTGACGATTTTCGGTACGGACGAAGTTTGAATTAAAATAATTTTGTACGGTTAATAGTCGCGAACAAATTTAATTGTGGGGCTTACTACAAGCAACCAGTTGTGTTTAAAAAAAAGATGTATGGTGTCGTGGGACACCGGATAGGAACGAAGTTATTATAAAAATATTAATTTGAAGTTCTATTCGAGGTATAAAGAAAATAAAACTGGAGGTTTCGCAACAAACCACGGTCCTTCGGTAACGTGCGAACTTATTGTGGTACACTTCATTCACGGTTGTATGCATAAGAGTTAGTGTATTGCGCAAACGAACGCTCTGAGATCGTGGTCAATGAATGATAAAAAAATATGTTATTTTTTGTACGTTATTACAAAGTTAAGTCGTACACTGTGTGCATTACTAATAAAAATCTTACGTTACGGACGTTTTTTCCCCGTTAGGGTACCCCTCCGCATCGTCCCATAAAGAACTTCGTTCCAAAAATAATAGACTAACCCTGTCAGTGTTCTATAAATGACCATGACTGAATTAATTTAATATATCAATCTATTTATTATTATTATTAAGACGTTCACAACGAACTATGGCTCTTTTTAACAGAATTCCGACTTCATCGTGTGCTCTTTTAATATTATAATACGAGTCTATCACCGACCGAGAAATAAAGTAATATGTTCGTGGTAGCAATGCCATCTTCTTTTGTAATGTTTTTATTGCTTTTGTAACCTGACGGTGTGTAGTCACCGTCATGCTCTTAGCAAAAGCAGATCTACAATCATACCGCTGTCTACCGCTCCCAAATCAAATTCCTTATTTTTATAGTAGGAATGAGCCATCTAACCTAGATTAATACGCTGTTATTAGCTTCAGACGTATGTATGTTAATATGTAACTAAATCTTTGAACATGATTTTGACCCCCTTCAAAACGGCGGATTAACTCGAAATTTGGCAAACTTATTAAGGACCGACGACAATTCAATATTAATATTTTTTTTTTAATTGAATTAAAAGATAAAAATAAATAATAGTTAAAAAAAAACAAATAAATACGCTTTTATAGAAAGGCCAACTAAAAAATTGAAAATAAATACAAATTTGAATTAAAAATAGTGTAAGAAAAAATGATTTTATTGTAAAAAAGCGTGGGGTACTTTTCAGGATATTATCAAAATAACCCTTCTACTCTTATCTGTTCATAAAATATTTATAACTACTGACACCATGCACCCCACGCTTTTTTTAACAATAAAATCATTGTTTCTTACACTATTTTTAATTTATTAAAATTTATTTTCTAGTTCTTAGTTGGTTTTTCTGTAAAAGCGTAATTTCTTAGTTTTTTTAAACCATTATATTTTTCTTATAGAATGAATGAGCCATCTAACCTATTTTTAGATCTCCAAATATCCGAATTAATAGGTTACCATCAAACTCGGTACGAGAATAAAGGAACGAAATGAAAACAATATTTTCAGTTCTCCCTACCAGCAAACGGTAGCAGAAGATGGGAAAGCTTTTTTTAGCTTTTACACTTTTTACGTACTTTTTTATATTGCCCTTGTACTGACTTGTGACTATTGCTTGACGAGCACACGGCCCATTTGACGGTTAGCGGTTATCGTCGCTCATAGACGTCGGCAATACCACGGAAATATATAGGCCTCTGGCTACCTCCTGGCATTTGGTAAATTTTATATTTAAATGACATGTACATATATAATATAAAGTAACTGGCTGTACCCGTCTGCTTCGCTGGGCATTTAAAATTAACATTATTATTTCTCACCCCACGAAGATTCTCATCATTACGCCCACGCAACTGGTGTAGGAAGTCCAACCCTCATATAAATATTAGCCTATCCATTAAGTACATGTATTTTCTACACGGATACCAAGTTTCAAGTCAATCGGATGCCTGGTTCATAGTTATAACGGAACATCCGTAAAAACCACTGTAGATCTATATTAGTATAGATTATATAATTCTTCTGTGTGTATATTTATAATAGAACTCCACCTAAGCCTCTGATCCAATTTTGGGTGATTTTGACGAACTTTTTGTGTGTGTTGTTTGAGCGGTCATCGAAAAGTTTGGTTTTATAACTGAACCCGGTAGGCGGCATTGCACTCGTCTGTCTAGCCGCTACCTATTTTATAGTACACGATGAATATAAATCAAATCACCTACATCTCAAAAACGTAAAGAAACATGGAACACTAATACAGAATTCAAATATGAAATTAGTCGACAAATCATCAGAATGTTATTCTCTTGATAAATTCGTAATTACAAAATCCGGAACACAATACGGCCCCTCTACAACACCGCAAACACAAACAAATATAAATTATTAATTACTTCACCTTAACGGAAACCAGACGGTACCCTTGCCTATAAATTTAGGGGGCAGATGTTAACAGACTCCTTAAATCCAAATATCTTGTTAAGCCACCCACCAAGTGTCCTCAAACCGCAAACACCCGCACTCCTTGCACACATACCTCTCGTCTAGACACTCGTTTATGTCGTAGCAATAAGATCCATTTTCCTATTATAATTTACCGGAGTTCTGCCTTTACAGCTATTGCTTACCGTTCTTCCTAATATTATATCGTATGAAGACGATCGCTAATGTTCGTTTAGTCTTGAGTACAAATGTAATTCAAGCAAATCTGAACTCTATGATTTAAGCCGTTTAGGCTATTATGAAATTGTTGTGTACCGAATATAAGTCGCTGTACTGTTGAGAAGCATGTGATATGATATCAAGGCGAGACAGAAAGGGACAGTAGAGCGCAGGCTCCTCGGCAGACGTCGCGGTTGCCATGACAACACATCGATTCGCCGCACCCCACCCCCTTTCTCCGTACAGCCTCCTCCCGTATCCAGGTCATCCGGAGGCAGCATCTGAAACCGATGTTTGAGTTAAGATTTAATTACACTTACTACATCAGTAACTTTAAATTATCCAAACAACTGTTACTTACAGAGTTTCCTATAATTCGTTTTTAGTTTCAGTTATAATGTACCTCCCAGTTTTTATACGAAACATTATTGACACCCGCGTGAATTACGTCTTAGATCACTTAGGCGGAGACCAGTGCTTAGGCGCTGTGATGAAAGGTAGCCTATATTAATTCAAGAGGTCAAACTACATAACATATGTACCTATTCATATCGTTTTTTTTTTAAATCGCTGGATGTAAAAGCGCTACAGACGGCTAAAGCTACTTTTATGTTTACAAACGAGGTATTATTGTTTACATTTGGTATATTAGTTACGTCCATCTTTTTTTATTGCTTAGTTTGTTGGACGAGCTCACAGCCCACCTGGTGTTAAGTGGTTACTGGAGCCCATAGACATCTACAACGTAAATGCGCCACCCACCTTGAAATAAGTTAAGTTCTAAGACAATATAAGTTCTAAGGTCTTAAGTATAGTTACAACGGCCCCACCTTTCAAACCGAAACGCATTACTGCTTCACGACAGAAATAGGCAGGGTGGTGGTATCTACCCGCGCGGGCTCTCAAGAGGTTCTACCACCAGTATAAAATATCTTCAGCCGTAGCGCCGAAACAGTATCTTCCAGTCAATATGTTACCCTGCCATTATATTTAATTTTTACAGATTTAAATATAAGCTGGTTAAGTATTACTAATTACTGCAAAGGAGACGGATAATCGTGGGCCAAAAATGTAATAACTTGGAATGTAGTCTAAAAAATTTGTTATATTTTTTTATATAAGAATATAAAAAATCAACTCAATCCTCTTTCTGGGACCGGAGAAAAATGAGAAAGTTAGTTTTTGTCGGTCTAACGGTGTTATCGATTTAATTAATCGATTACAGGATTATAAAAAGAAAAACATTGCACTAGGTAATTAATGCAAAGTAATTAAATGAGCGATTTATACTTGTCGTATACAAGTGCGGTATACGCCGGTTTTAATTGCGATTATATACATAAATGAAGAAAAAGTCTATTATTACTTACAAAGTAATATGATTATCGATTTCAAATCGATTAAAATCGATTGTATTTTTGATGACAGCTTTGACAGTAAGTGACATGACGCTGTTGGTTTTTTTTTACTCTACTCGTTTCGTGTTTTCGATGCGTCTTGAGTGTGTACCTATCTGGCTATTTTTATTTATTTTCAACCATCACTGCTTTGTTATTACGGATTCCGACCCTGCCTGCCTTGTACGACCATTGCTTCTACACTGGACACCGAAGATCGCTCACATCACGTTTGACTTGAAATTGGATACTGTTTAAATTATGGATCGCTGTGTGAATTGTGGGATAGCAATTGATAATTGCAATTCCATAGGCCGTCGACCCTTGGACAGAGAAACAATACTGTCAGTATTTCGACAGTGGCTTGCACCTAAATCTGTAAGTAATTATAATCTTATTAAAACAACTACTACCTAAATAATACACATGTATGTATCATGCCTAAGGTATTCTCATCTAGTCAACATTAGGTGGTACAGAGACGTAATGCAGTAGGTGAATTAAAAACATGAAAAATGGAAAATGTGAGATTTATATATTGAATAAATGAATGAACTATATATAAAGTAAAAAAAGTAATTTAGATATACAGTATGACTTTTGCAACATAAGCTCTTTAGAAACTGATTTAAGGTAATTGTTCCATTTGTAGGTAAACAGCAGTGACTATGTTTGTCAAGCATGCTGGGACTTGGCTCAAAGTCCACATATTGATAGACAAATAAGACAACTTGGACACCGTAATGTCTGCCTCCGCTGTGGGCGCTCTCTTGCATCACGTGCCAATCATCTTCTTCATATCAACTCAACCCGTGAATCAAGAATTTATAATGTTATACAAGAGTGGATTATTCCCCAAACTGTAAGTATTTAACTTATAGTTTAAAATATTGTTTACTGCACTTTTCATAATAGGTGCTAACCACAAGTTCATTATCTTAATAAATTCCAGGTCTGATTATGTATGTCTGTTGTAGATACAAGCAGGAAGTCACATATGCCATACTTGTTGGGTGGCTGCAGACAGAGCTGCAGTCCATATGGTCTCGGGCCCGTCGACTTCATCCCAACAAAACAGATCTCAAGAACAAGATGTGTCTCTCAATGAGGAAGTTAGAAACAACCAACCGGAACCTACTATTGTTTTGCCAGAATATATGAGAGCTTCTGAATCTGAAAGTAGGTGCTTCATCGAAGGATGCAGGAGAACAGAAAGATACAGAGTCCCATTATCTACTAGAAAAATGTTACTTAATAAATATAAATATTACATACCTGAAAATAACCGTCTTTGTGACGAACATTTGGTTATTGAGGCATGGGATTTCCTAGACAGTTTAAGATCTCATTATGTTCAAAATTTTACTGCAAAATATATTCAGGACATGTTGTCCTTAAAAGAAGTTGTAGATGATGGATTACTTCATTTTGAAAATATAAATAACATGGAAGAGCATGTCGTACACACGTGGACTGGATTAAATAAAGCACAGTTCAATCAGATGTTCACTGAAGTTCCTGAGTTGTTGGAAATGCCAAATGCAACCTTAGCTCTGGCCGCTTATCTGATGAAAATCAGAACAGGGGACTCCAATGAAAGGTTGGCAACTTTATTAAAAGTATCTAGGTCAACTTTAGAAAAGTGGTTAAGTCAAGTGAGAGAATTACTCACAGAGTATTTTGTACCAAGAAATCTAGGTTTGAATAATTTAAATAGACAACAAATTATAGAACGGAATCTTGCGATACCAAAGACATTGTTTGGAAGCTTTGAAGGTGTTGACAGACCAATAGCTATATTTGATGGAACTTATTGTTATGTTGAGAAGAGCTCAAATTATTTGTACCAGAAAAAAACATATAGCCTGCACAAATACAGAAATCTGGTAAAACCATTTTTAATTGTTTGTACTGATGGGTATATTATCGATGTTTTGGGCCCATACCCAGCCACAGCTTCTGATGCTGAGATCATGAAAAAAGAATTTGTCAATGGAAGACCTTTAAAAGAATATTTCCATCCAGGTGATGCCTTTATATTAGATAGAGGCTTTCGTGACTCACTACCTTTGTTGCACCAATGTGGGTATAGGACATATGTGCCTGCTTCTTTAGAGGAGGGTGAAACACAGCTATCAACTAGTGAGGCTAATAAATCCAGGGCAGTCACTATATGCCGTTGGGTGGTTGAAGCTGTTAATGGTAGATTCAAACGTGATTTCAAGTTATTACGACAAAATTATTTTAATGTTGCCAGTACAAGTTTCATGAAAGATTTTGAGGTGGCGGCTTCACTTTTAAATAAGTTTCACCCTCCTATAGTTGATCGTGCAGATGCTGGGGAAATAATACTACAAATAAATAGGTACATGAATACAGAAAATGAATTAGCTGATTTTATTATAAGAAATAATTATAATAAGCGTCGAGCTAATTTTGAAAGCATTACAGTGCAGAATGATAATTTAAATGATTTTCCCCAGCTCTCCGACAGTGAATTAATATTAATTTCTTTGGGCACATACCAAATAAAGCAGGCACGCTCCTACTATGGTGAACATATTAGAGTAAATAACGATTTTAATATAGAAGTGTGCAAGGAGGTCAGCAGCAGCCTTCTTCGAGAGCTGTCGGCTTCTAATACGTCTTACCTGGTTAGGGGTCGCATACAATCCCGACACATAAGTCGGAAAACTTATTTCGTTTATATTTTAGTCGACAGCTCTCGTATAGGAAGGGAAGCTATTATCATCAATTATTGTAATTGTATTGTAGGCAGACGAACTGTAGGCTGCTGCGCTCATGTTATGACTATTATATGGTACCTTAGCTGGGCTAGGTACCAAGACAATATTGTTCCTCCCGCACTCTTCCTGGACGACACTTTATTAATAATTGAAGGTGAATAAACTAGGTATACAATACATTGTGTTTTATTTTTCTCGACACCTTTTAAGTAAATCCATACCTGATATATATCATTGATATTCATTTATAATATGACATTTAAAAGATTATCCAATGGATATAATACACATTTACCTATGCTTAAATAAGTTATTAATCAGCTCTTTTATAGAGATTGTAACATAACCTAACTTTTACTAAATCTTTAATAACTCTGCTCCCAGATTGAGAAAACTTTTAAAATTTTCAGCAAAGTACTGATAAATCTCAATCTATTAATTCATACTAGTTTCATCACGTTACATTCGGGCCCAAAAATGTATGTAATCGTTTCAGTCTCCTTTGTAATATTGGTTTATATGTCACCTAAATCATCACATCAAATCATGTCTAATTCGCCCAAAAAGCACCGGAATATTAAACTTCACGGCCTATTCAATTTGTTTTAAAAAAAAAACATTTAATGGTTTATGAATTAGAAATTGGTAAGTTAAGTTAAGTAAGCCTCCGATCCAATCGATTTTCTTCCAATTTGTTTTGTTGAACAGCTTTAGACAAACTTTCAAGTGTTTGCAAAAAATAATTTTGGAAACTGTCAGTCGTTTTTTTTTTTCAAAATGTCAGTAATAAAACGATGAAACAAAAGAAACAATCTTTTACATAAAATGAATCTAAATCTTGAACATCGATGATTACGGTGGAATTTCTATTGTTGGCCGAACATTACTCTGTTAATAGTTTGTAAGTAATATTCTATATTTTGAAACTTATAGAATCTATATATTAATACGTGAAGCAAAAACTTTGTATCCCTTTTTACAAAAATTGCGCGGACGGAGGAGTATCAAATTTTCCACACTTATAGAGAATACAGAGAAGAAGTGCACAATACTAATATTTTTTTTAAATAATACATAAAAGATACATTAAATCAATAAAGAAAACATTACACACACTACATACCATGTATTTGACGCACACACGCATGCATACTATTTATTATCAAACTTTTGTTCTTGACGTCTGTTGTCAAATTGAGATTAAATATTGTTTGTCTTTGTTAATATTTTTTATAGTGTATATATGTTTTTATAGTGTTTTATAGTGTATATAGTCTTGGCGAAATTTGTGATTATAGAAGTATAAAATACAATCATAATAGTGTACAAACTTACAATTTCAATTAATTATAGTCGAATTTCAACTACTGCGGGACCTCTAGTCAAATTAGATATCCAAGTCAAATCTATATATATAAAAATGAATTGCTGTTCGTTAGTCTCGCTTAAACTCGAGAACGGCTGGATCGATTTGGCTAATTTTGGTCTTGAATTATTTGTGGAAGTCCAGAGAAGGTTTGAAAGGTAGATAAATATGAAAATGCTCGGAATTAAATAAAAATAACAATTTTGTTTTTCCTTTGATGTGTCCCCCATCGAACGGATTCCTTTTGTTTGTTTTAAGTTTATTTTATACGACGTTTAACGTTTAGGTTTTTTATTTCTCGATTGAGGCACTACGAAGTTATTTAAGTCTGCCGGGTCAGCTAGTTTGAAATAACATTCTACAAGCTACTGTTTTTTATGACTTGTTCAAAACAGATTTTCTTTTGAAACTCATTATTTGAATATCTTGAAATAATTTCTTTAGGTACAAATAAAGTTTTATTAAGGCATTTTACTACTAATATTACTGGTAATTACTGGTGGTAGGACCTCTTGTTAGTCCGCACGAGTAGGTGCCACCACCCTGCCTATTTCGGCCGTGAAGCACTAATGCGTTTCGGTTTGAAGGATGGGGCAGCCTGTAACTATACTGAGACCTTAGAACTTATATCTCAAGAAGGGTGGTGCATTTACGTTGAAGATGTCTGTGGGCCCCAGTAACCACTTAACACCAGGTGGCCTGTGAGCTAGTCCACCCATCTAAGCAATAAATAAAAAAATAAAATAAAAATTCGTGCACTAACGTTAGTTTTAAATTTATATTGTCTTTCAAAACAAACGAACATACCATCCTAATGATGCTGAGTGCTGACATTCACACTTAGTACCTAATGCCGAAAAGGCAACCAAACACATGCATTTTTTTTATTTGCATAGATAGCCAAGCGATTACTGAAGCCCAAATATCATTAGCTGTACCTTTGTTTCCATCCTCAAAGTTATTCTAAAGAGCTTTCACAACTTTGAGAACAGATTTATAGAACTTATGTATAAATAAAAATTCGTTAAAAAAACGTAATTTTCCCTCCGTCGGAAAAACATGTAGGTAAAACCTGATATTTCACCATTTCAAATTGCCTTCATCTCGAGCACAAAGGGAGAGCCCAAGGGCGGTATTTCCTCGAGGAGCCCTATTAAGTCCAGCCTCTTTCTTTTGTCAGCCCCTACGCTCCGTTACGTGTCTTTGAGATAAGAATTGGGTCGACGGTTCTTTGGCACATCAAAGTTACAATTCCGGAAAAATAGGCAAATAATTTTCCTTGAAACGGGAAGCTGGGACAAGTGATTTTTCAAAATGTCTGACAAATTTTCGATAAAAAACTATCAATTTAGGCTGAACACAACTTCATTACCAATGATGTCATTTGAGGCTAAATAAACAAAACAATGGAGTCAGAATTAATATAACTTTATTTAATGATTTACTTTAAAATTTATTAACGTTTCACAGAATTATTGACAGGGTCTTCGAATGATCGAAATTGGACCACAATCTTTTTTTTTTATTATCACCTGGAAAACAAAAAGACACTTTAAAAACTAACTATTCAGTAATCAGTTTTCTTAACTTTTTCTTTACAACCGGCTTCAAAAAAATTCACAATTCGATTGCAATTTTTTGGTTATTACTTCAGAACTTTTCTTTTAGTGAACCGATTTTCACGATCCTTCAATTTATAAGCTGGTGCTTCTCATGCACTTTTAAGACGATTTGACTAGTAGTTTTTGTGTTATTCTTAATAATGCATTTTTAATTGCCTTCGGCTACATTGATGATGTTCTCATTTTAATTTTTTGAAGTCGGTTTTATTTTTTTGTACGGTAATATTTTAGTATTTTTCAGCACACAAACCCAAGCTTGAACATAATAATATTGTCCATTGTGTAGTGTTTGGTGACCAATATTGTAGTGTGCTGTGGGGCTTCATCGCTACATAAATAAAATACAACCCTTATGTTCCTCGTTCAATATATTGTCTTTTATTTTGTATATCTTTTTAATTTTAACAAATAAAACTCATTAATAGCCGACAAACAAGTACAGAAAAATCAATCAATTGGTCAAAAAGAGAAGTAACTCGTTCTTCACACTTTTAATTTATTTTGTTTTGTCCAGTTTTCCGCTGAACGATGTATTTGGACTAAATTTTTTATTTATTTATATTTGCACCTGCTTGCCCCATTGGTTTCATTAAGATATTATAATTATCGTTTCAACAATAATCATCGTTTTAATTAAAATAAGGTATATCCCAAACGAAGCATGTACAATGAACTTCTGAAGCGCCAATAATAATGGTATTGGAACAGCAATCTTCGACCACAAATTTGATGCATTAATATCCATTGCGGACCATAACGAGGAGATTGAAATAACAACAATGCTAAGGTAAGCATCCTTGGTGGGAGTAATCATAAGGTTAAAAAGGCCGATGACGCATCGTCTTTTGATTGCTCACAAGCCAGAATACCTGGACCGACTATCGCGTTAGCACCTGGAAAACAATGTTTGAATTTTGTAATTCTATAAGGAAGCAACAGTACGGGAGAGAGGGAACTTAACTCACCGCGCGCCGATCCGCCGCCAACGAGTCGGAGACCGAAGTAAGGCCTTTACCCAGCTCCAGCCCCTGTAGGAGTCTGCCTCCCCCTGAAAGTGCCTGAAAGTGAAAATATGTTTGAATAATAGAATGCTAAGAAGCTATTTAAGGTACCAAATGCCTTTACCCAGCTCCAGCCCCTGTAGGAGTCTGCCTCCCCCAGTGACGGTTCGGGGTCACCGGGCAGGTCAAGGCCGTGCGGCGCACCGCCATACTGATATCAATAATAATGAACTACCGGCTAGCGGTACATCGCATTCCGACCCGGCAAGCTGGTTCTAGTCCAGTGAGGTTTTCCGGGACACCAGTAGAATCGCCTAGGGCTGTCTAACCGGTACCGAAACGGCTGATGCAGAGCTGTCGATTCGCCTTGACAACTCCGCCGGCCGGGCGTCCTTCGTGTAAGATTTATGCAGTCGTTGTCTTAGTGAATAAAATTCTCCGAAGCACTGTTAATGCTAATGCCAGTGTTAGCAACGTCCTTAAATTAGAGCCCCGTGAGCTCACCTACTCGTTCGGTGAATCTAGTATGACCTCTTGAAGTCCTTAAAATAGGAAGGAAAAAAATTAATGAATAGAACCACTAACGTCATCTAGTTTATATTTTATTCATTAATGAGTACTTGGTATTTTTTTCATCATTGATTCTAGACAATAAAGGGAATTCCGTAGAAAATATATAAGACTTGACCGCACATGTCCATATGACTGGTGCAAGGACGTCTTATGAGCTCGCACGAATAGATACCACCGCCTTGTCTATTTGTCCGTAAAGGTTTGCATGAAAAAAAGTCTATTTAGGTAACAACTTAAAAGTCGTCGTGGCCTAAAGGATAAGACTTCCGGTGCATTCGTGTTTAGCGATGCACCGGTGTTCGAATCCCGCAGGCGGGTACCAATTTTTCAAATGAAATACGTACTTAACAAATGTTCACGATTGACTTCTTCGGTGAAGGAATAACATCGTGTAATAAAAATCAAACCCGCAAAATTATAATTTACGTAATCACTGGTGGTAGGACCTCTTGTGAGTCCGCACGGGTAGGTTCCACCACCCCGCCTATTTCTGCCGTGAAGCAGTAATGCGTTTCGGTTTGAAGGGTGGGGCAGCCGTTGTAACTATACCGAGACCTTAGAACTTATATCTTAAGGTGTGTGGCGCATTTACGTTGTAGATGTCTATGGCCTCCAGTAACCACCTAACACCAGGTGGGCTGTGAGCTCGTCCACACATCTAAGCAATAATTTTTTTTAACAAAAA